CCAAAGTTTGCCGTTACAGCAGTCCTCTCCATTCCTCTCCATGTTTCGAAGTTTGCTGTGACAGCAATTCCCTCCAATCCTCTCTATATTCCGACTTTTGCAGTGACAAAATTCCTCTCCATTCCTCTCCATTTCTCTCCATTCCTCTCTATGTTCCGAACCCATTCCTCTCTATGTTCCGTAGTTTGCTGTGACAGCATTCCTCTCCATCCCTCTCTATATTCCGAAGTTTGCAGTGTCAGCATTCCTCTCCATTATGTTTCGAAGTTTGCTGTGACAGCATTCCTCTCGATCCCTCTCCATTCCTCTCCAGTCCTCTCTATGCTCCGAAGTTTGCTGTCACAGCAGGCCTCTCCATTCCTCTCCTTGTTTCGAAGTTTGCTGTGACAGTATTCCGAAGTTTGCTGTTACAACATTCTTCTCCATTCCTCTTCTATATTCCGACTTTTGCTATGACAGCTTACCTCTCCATTCCTCTCCATTACTCTCCATATTCCAAAGTTTGCCGTTTCAGCAGTACTCTCCATTCCTCTCCAGTCCTCTCTATGCTCCGAAGTTTGCTGTCACAGCAGGCCTCTCCATTCCTCTCCAGTCCTCTCTATGATCCGAAGTTTGCTGTGAAAACATTCCTCTCCATTTCCCTCCATTCCTCTCTATATTCCGACTTTTGCAGGGACAAAATTCCTCTACATTCCTCTCTATATTCCGTAGTTTGCTGTGACAGCATATATTCCGACTTTTGCTATGACAGCTTACCTCTCCATTCCTCTCCTTGTTTCGAAGTTTGCTGTGACAACATTACTCTCCATTCCTCTCCAGTCCTCTCTATGTTCCGAAATTTGCTGTTACAGCATTCCCCTCCATTCCTCTCTATATTACGAAGTTTGCAGTGACAGCATTCCTCTCGATCCCTCTCCATTCCTCTCTATGTTCTCCATTCCTCTCCATGTCCCGAAGTTTGCTGTGACTGGTTTCGTCTCCATTCCTCTCTATATTCCGCCTTTTGCAGTGACAAAATTCCTCTCCTTTCCTCTCTATATTCCGTAGTTTGCTGTGACAGCAATTCTCTCCAATCCTCTCTATATTCCGACTTTTGCAGGGACAAAATTCCTCTACATTCCTCTCTATATTCCGGAGTTTGCTGTCACAGCAGGCCTCTCCATTCCTCTCCAGTCCTCTCTATGTTCCGAAGTTTTCTGTTACAACATCTGACAGCTTTCCTCTCCATTCCTCCCCATATTCCAAATTTTGCCGTTTCAGCAGTCCTCACCATTCCTCTCCATGTTCTGAAGTTTGCTGTGACAGCATATATTCCGACTTTTGCAGTGACAAAATTCCTCTCCTTTCCTCTCTATATTCCGGAGTTTGCTGTCACAGCAGGCCTCTCCATTCCTCTCCATATTCCAAAGATTGCCGTTTCAGCAGTCCTCTCCATTCCTCGCCATGTTCCGAAGTTTGATGTGACTCTCGATATTCCAAAGTTTGCCGTTTCAGCAGTACTCTCCATTCCTCTCCAGTCCTCTCTATGTTCCGTAGTTTGCTGTGACAGCATCCTCTCCATTCCTCTCCAGTCCTCTCTATGGTCCGAAGTTTGCTGTGGCAGCATTCCTCTTCATTCCTCTCTATATTCCGCCTTTTGCAGTGACAAAATTCCTCTCCTTTCCTCTCTATATTCCGTAGTTTGCTGTGACAGCATATATTCCGACTTTTGCTGTGACAGCTTTCCTCTCCATTCCTCCCCATATTCCAAATTTTGCCGTTTCAGCAGTCCTCTGCATTCCTCTCCATGTTCCGAAGGTTGCTGTGACAGGTTTCATCTCCATTCCTCTCCATATTCCAAAGATTGCCGTTTCAGCAGTCCTCTCCATTCCTCGCCATGTTCCGAAGTTTGATGTGACTCTCGATATTCCAAAGTTTGCCGTTTCAGCAGTACTCTCCATTCCTCTCCAGGTTCCGAAGTTTGCTGTCACAGCCGTCCTCTCCATTCCTCTCCTTGTTTCGAAGTTTGCTGTGACAGGTTCCCTCTCCATTCCTCTCCAGTCCTCTCTATGTTCCGAACCCATTCCTCTCTATGTTCTCCATTCCTCTCCATGTTCTTTTGCTGTGACAGCTTTCATCTCCATTCCTCTCCATTACTCTCCATATTCCAAAGTTTGCCGTTTCAGCAGTCCTCTCCATTCCTCTCTTAATTCCGAAGTTTGCTGTGGCAGCATTCCTCTTCATTCCTCTCTATGTTCTCCATTCCTCTCCATTCTTCCCTCTCAATTCCTCTCCATGTTCCAAAGTTTGCTGTGACAGCACTCCTCTTCATTCCTCTCTATATTCCGAAGTTTGCTGTTACAACATTCTTCTCCATTCCTCTTCTATATTCCGACTTTTGCAGGGACAAAATTCCTCTACATTCCTCTCTATATTCCGGAGTTTGCTGTCACAGCAGGCCTCTCCATTCCTCTCCTTGTTTCGAAGTTTGCTGTGACAACATTACTCTCCATTCCTCTCCAGTCCTCTCTATGTTCCGTAGTTTGCTGTGACAGCATCCTCTCCATTCCTCTCCAGGTTCCGAAGTTTGCTGTAACAGCAATTCCCTCCAATCCTCTCTATATTCCGACTTTTGCTATGACAGCTTACCTCTCCATTCCTCTCCATTACTCTCTATATTCCGAAGTTTGCTGTGAAAACATTCCTCTCCATCTCCATTCCTCTCTATGTTCCGTAGTTTGCTGTGACAGCACTCCTCTTCATTCCTCTCTATGTTCCGTAGTTTGCTGTGACAGCAATTCTCTCCAATCCTCTCTATATTCCGACTTTTGCAGGGACAAAATTCCTCTACATTCCTCTCTATATTCCGTAGTTTGCTGTGACAGCATTCCTCAACATTCCTCTCCATGTTCTGAAGTTTGCTGTGACAGGATTCCTCTCCATTACTCTCTATATTCCGAAGTTTGCAGCGACAGCATTCCTCTCCATGTTCTGAAGTTTGCTATGACAGCATTCCTCAACATTCCTCTCCATGTTACGAAGTTTGCTGTGACAACATTACTCTCCATTCCTCTCCAGGTTCCGAAGTTTGCTGTTACAACATTCTTCTCCATTCCTCTTCTATATTCCGACTTTTGCTATGACAGCTTACCTCTCCATTCCTCTCCTTGTTTCGAAGTTTGCTGTGACAGGATTCCTCTCCATTACTCTCTATATTCCGAAGTTTGCTGTCACAGCCGTCCTCTCCATTCCTCTCCAGGTTCCGAAGTTTGCTGTTACAGCAGTCCTCTCCATTCCTCTCAATTCCTCTCCATGTTCCAAAGTTTGCTGTGACAGCACTCCTCTTCATTCCTCTCTATATTCCGACTTTTGCTATGACAGCTTACCTCTCCATTCCTCTCCATATTCCAGAGTTTGCCGTTTCAGCAGTCCTCACCATTCCTCTCCATGTTCTTTTGCTGTGACAGCTTTCATCTCCATTCCTCTCCATATTCCAGAGTTTGCCGTTTCAGCAGTACTCTCCATTCCTCTCCAGTCCTCTCTATGCTCCGAAGTTTGCTGTCACAGCAGGCCTCTCCATTCCTCTCCAGTCCTCTCTATGTTCCGTAGTTTGCTGTGACAGCAATCCCCTCCAATCCTCTCTATATTCCGACTTTTGCTATGACAGCTTACCTCTCCATTCCTCTCCATGTTCCGAAGTTTGCTGTGACAGGTTTCCTCTCCATTCCTCTCCATATTCCAAAGTTTGCCGTTTCAGCAGTCCTCTCCATTCCTCTCCATGTTCTGAAGTTTGCTGTGACAGCATTCCTCAACATTCCTCTCCATGTTCCGAAGTTTGCTGTGACAGCATCCCTCTCCATTCCTTTCCATTCCTCTCTATGTTCCGAAGTTTGCTGTGACAGCATTCCTCTTCATTCCTCTCTATGTTCCGAAGTTTGCTGTTACAACATTCTTCTCCATTCCTCTCTATGTTCCGAAGTTTGCTGTGACAGTATTCCTCTCCATTCCTCTCCATGTTCCGAAGTTTGCTGTGACAGTATTCCTCTCCGTTCCTCTCCATGTTCCGAAGTTTGCTGTGACAGTATTCCTCTCCATTCCTCTCCATGTTCCAAAGTTTGCTGTGACAGCATTCCTCTCCATTCCTCTCTATGTTCCGAAATTTGCTGTTACAGCATTCCCCTCCATTCCTCTCCATGTTCCGAAGTTTGCTGTGACAGTATTCCTCTCCATTCCTCTCCATGTTCCGAAGTTTGCTGTGAAAACATTCCTCTCCATTTCTCTCCATTCCTCTCTATATTCCGAAGTTTGCAGTGACAGCATTC